CTAACTTTTAACTTTGTAATCTTAAAATCTCAATAAAATACTATTAAAAAAAAAAAAAGAACAGGTTCACTACTTCTACATCTTCTCTGCAGATAACCCTCTCTTAGAACAATACAAGTCCACGGTATGAAAAAAGAAAAACAAATCCTCTAAAGTTAATTTTATGAATACATGTTTGTTATGTCAGGCAAAAAGCAGATGTTTTTCAAATATAAAAACAAAAGACACAAAATATGATTGCATGTGGAATGTTCTTGAAGGTTTCCAAACTACCAAAAATGGAAACAAACCAACAAAAAGTGTTTGAGGTGATGGAGCTCCCTTTTATTTTGCATATTCTGACTGACTGTATCAAGTAGTAAGATAAATTGGGTCTAGAGATATCCCATCTAAACATATTTATTTTTATATATTTTTTAAAAAAATGGTGTTTGCATATAGAAAGTCCATGTGCAATACAGAATGAGAGCATTTCTCTTGGTACATCTTGCTCCTTTTGCATTAAGGCACGTATGGTCTATAAAGTGAACCATTTCCATAATTGTCTTCCTCCCATCCCTACCAAATCTTTATTGCCAGAGAGGAAGTGCCCTATCCTTCCAAGGACAAACACATCAGGGGCTAACTGGCACTGGGTGCTAAGCAGTACACTTTGGCTCTTCCTTCCCTGTTGTTAACATGACAGCTTCAAAGAGCAGCAGTTGCAACAGCAGCAGTATCTAAAGCAGCCTGCCCAAACTTGATGCCTTAGAGATACTGGACTCCTATCACCCAGAGGCAGAACTGTCACCAGCTGTACAGATTGGAGATAATGGGAGTTGTAGGCTAACACTACAGGACACTAGATTGAAGAATATTAATCTACGATCTATGGAGTAAACTTTTTCATCATCAACTTCAGGCCTCATAAAACTACACTGCCTTTCAAAGAACCTTATTATGTATTTAGTCTTACTTGCCAACAGTCAGTTGGTGGCCTATCATCAGGGAGAAAAGCAGAACATAAATACTTTACATAAATGAAACATAACTTTGTTCAAATCTAGTTACTAGAAAAGGGGGAAGATTTGGATCAGCCTTCTCCAATGAAGTGTTCTGCAGCTATGTTGAACTACAGTACTATCCTCAAAATTCTCACTCAAGATGACCCCTGGCCAACTGGTTGGAATTCTGGGAACTGTAGTCCAATACGTTTGAAGAATGCCAAGGATGCCACATTGGAGAAGGCAGGATGGGCACACAAACACACCCTTGTGCTAATTCAATCAAATAGGCAGTCAACAACTAAAAGAAGAATGTTAATAAATTACTTCTATGATTTAAATATTGACAGTTCTGTCTCAGTGCACACATAATGCTAATCTATGATTTACTGAGGCAAAGCAATTGCCCCACCTCCCAGTTAAAATTTCAGGCAGATTAAATTCTTACACTGAAAAACATAGGTTTAAGTTTTATTTAAAAAGGCTATCCCTTCAAATGCAATTATAAGTATATAAATATGTGACACTAATAAATGGTTCAGACTGGAAAGCCTAGACTGCAGTATTAAGAGAAGCCTTCTAAATGTGTAATTTGTATTTTATGTGTATATGTATTTTACAATATAATTGGCTGATAGATACTTTGGACTGATGTTTTTAAACAAATTCTCTTCTTCAACAGACAAAACATATTGTCATTATGTTAAAAATATTTTTTGAAGAAAGAAAAGTTAGAAGCAGATGTGGAGATGATCAGTAATTCCAAAAGTTTAAATTAAAATAGTAGGATTTCTATCTCATTCCAAGTAGTTTGCAAGCAAAACCAGTTACCAAGTAGGAAGATCTAAAGTTATACTGCTGTCCTTACTCTTGACTAACATAATCCTACACTCTGTTATTGTCAAGCCTGAAGTCTACAAACAGCAACAACCAAAATCACATTTGCCAACTTCTTTATTCAGCCTGGATTTCAATGTGTTTTTTCCCCCCTTCCACATCATTCTTCTAGCAGAATACTCAAGACAACTCTGGAGATTATTTGACATCTCGGTTTGTGTAACAAAAGCATACAGGAGCTGAGGGACTTTGCTTAAGAACTATAACTATCCTAAAACATCCCCAGAGAAGCCCTTAGTGTTTTTCCCAGCAGTAGTGACTGAATGAAATGGTGCAGAGCAGAAGATGAAATGTTGTGCTCCTTTAAAAACTGATGGAGCTGAAAATTGCTGGTGCTGAGTTTACCACATGTTTTTTTAACACTTTATGTTTTAAAGCTGAAACACCCCCTTGACCCTCCATCCCAGCCTCTCCATTCCTCCAGAAATGACCATGTGTTTCATCTCTTCTAACAGGACTTTTCTTGAATTTAATCTGAAAAGTTTTCCAGGCCTAGTTCTTTCAAATTTTACTTTCCTATTTTGCTTTCCTGTTTAATAGATGTTTCATTTTTTCATTTTCTTCAAACAAATACTTGCTACAGTTTTGAATTTAATCACTTCATAAAGATTAACAGCCCAGTCTTTCCCAACAGAGGCAAAAGAAATATACAGTAGCAGACAACAGGTCACCGGTGAAAGAAGAGTTTAAAAGTTGGAAGAGCCAAAGGACAAAAAACAAGAAAGGAGAACTGTTAGCCCTCAGTCACCTATTTCCAAGCCTAACAGTCCCAACTCTTCTAGCTTTTTCTTAAAGGGAGGCTATTCAAAACCTTGTCTGCACTTTCTCTAGCTTTGTTATATTCTGTGGAACCCAGAACTATATAAAAAGTAGAATTAACATTTAAAAATGCAGAATGAAATGTGAGACAATTCTGAAGATACTAAATTTTGCTTTATAAAGCCAGTATCTGTACTGCACATCACTGAAAATGCAGATTTTAAATCTTCTACATACCAGATAAAATAAACAAGTTTATGAATACTATGTTCAATTTCAAGTCATGTTGCCTTAAGAAAATTGGTCAGACAACATGGTCTATACTTTGAACTGCAGGATTCTAATTTTTCAGCCACATTCTCATAGTATGTCACTCTTTAGCAAGCACTACTCACTGTCATTACTTAACAAGTCAAACCTTGAGATTCTTTTATATACTTTTATTATTTACCTAAATGTTTTTACAAGGTTTCTCAGTTCACTATAAACTTCACCAAGAGGAATCTTAAGAGGGTCCAAAACAGCAGGCAAACTAAAACAGAAACGGAGAGAGAAAAAGAAAGCAGACTTAGTTAATTTAAATATTAGGATATGCACTTCTTCACTTAAATTCCAAACAAAGAGTTTCCTCTATCAGTCATTAATAATATTTCTTTTACACTTCACTGGATGTCAGTTAAACCTCAAAATTTTGCCTCTCCCACCTCTCAAACTGTCACAAAGCCATTAACATATATAATTAAACAGGGATTCTTTTGCTGAACAAACAAGGAACAGTTCTATTTTGCATATGCTCAAAATTCCTCATTTATTTTCTTTTGTGAGTATCCAGAAGAACTAAATCAATCCAGGATTCAAATCTTACCTGAAGAAACTAGCAGCTTGATTAGCCAAATATCAACACATGTTCATTGTTGCACATGGCATTAAGCCAGGATTTGTTGAACAAACCATGTTTTCAATTTATGATTTTCTTTAAAAAATATTTTCTTTAAGAAGGATTCATACATACAATTAATGGCTCTGAAGAATATGATCCCTTCCAATTTAACTGTTTCTGCATATTCAATTTATCTGGAAGTCCATCAACAGCTGATGCAAAAAGATACTTACGCTTTTTGCAGCTTCTCAAGCACAATCCGTGTCCGTATCTGCTGCTGAGCTTTAGAATCTACAAGTGGCAAAGTGGGAGCCCACTGTTCATTGTCCTAGATAATGTAAAAATAGCACAAATATGGAACAGACAATATTGCATTGTAAGGTTATAACAAATAGGTTAAAATGATATCTATGTTGGCCAAATGTACTAAGAACAACACTGGTAATTTATAGACCAAAGCAAATATAGAAGACATTGAATAATTGTGAGATAAAATAGTTTATCTGAACAATGAAAAACAATAAAACTTTTATATGAGATCCTTCAAGAATGGACTTGCTGCTATTCTTGAAAAAAATCTGCATTGCCACTTCAAGCTCGACTTGGCATGTATTTCTGAAAAGTCAGCAAGAAGCAGCCACTTTTTAGAAAAATCTAGGCTTCTGATTTAATAGTGAAAGAGATCAGAGAATCATCAAGAACCTTTGGATTGTGCTGTGTGGACCTATTCTCTGTAAGGTTTTTGCATTCAATATCCAAGGGGGTCCCCAGGTAAATTCCCCATGTCACAGTTTCCAAGTATTACATAAGCTATTTTAAAAACAAGATATTTAAGGAATTTATATGGCTGCCCAACTCAGACAATTGTGACTCTGGGTGGCATACAATCAGTAAAACAACAAAAAACAATACAGTTGAAAACAACAACAATAGGCAACCAGAGCCCAGATTCCTATTATACTCCTTCAGGGAGGAACTCAATCAACTTGGCCCCATACCTGAAGGCTGAAATTGTAACCACTTCCTTTATTTTCAGGATACTTACCTGAGATTCCCCAGACTGTTGTTCCCTTCCTGATTGCATTGCCAAATCCTTCTCTTCAATAACAGTGAACTTTCCTTGGTAAAATTCCTCCACCTTTAACTCCAACTGCAATGTTTCTTTTTTCAATTTTTCATAGCTAGGTAAAGGTTTGACTGCCATCCTAGAGCCCTGGCAAGGCAAAGTGTGTCTCTGGGGTACAGTTTCACTATCATTAGCACTTTCCAAATCATCTTCATCAAGCTCTTCCTTCTCAGAGTCATTTGGCAAAGTGTGCCGCAGTATGTGACTGGTGGTGCTATCAGAGCCATGGAGAAGCTTTAGTGTCTCTTCACTTCTCCATTCAGTAAATGTCTGCCAGAGGCTCTCTAGTAAGCTATCTTTGGCAGCAATGGAGTCTGCTGGACTTCTGATAGACTGTTTTGATTTAGCAAGTAATCTTTTAAACTGGTCTGCCCCTTTTTGACTCACCCCCAGGAACACTACTTGGGAGCAGCCAGAGTTATTTCCAAAGTCTTCAGAGACCTGTACATTTTCAAGAGCATTCTGAGAATGGCAAGGTCTTTCCACCTGGATATTATCAGGAAAAACATGTTCCTCTTGTAGAACATCTAATTTGTCTCTATTTACTTGGGCTGAAGTCTCATCAACTGTATCCTCTGTAGTGAATAGCTTAGGTTCAGCTCTCTTGGTGGCACTTTTTTTGAGGATGCTCTTGAAGGGTTTCCCAGCCAACTTCTCTGTATTTGGAAGATTCTCTTGCAGTACAGAAGAAACAAACTCTTGTTCAGCATCACTGTTGCTCTCACTGCCTGAGCCAGAGTCACTATGGCTTGCTGCTGGAATGGGGTTTTCAATGTCTAAGGCTTTTATTCTTTCACTGACTAATTTTATTTCCTTCCCAGAGTAGCCACTATTAATAGAAATAAAAATGACAATAAGAAACACAGAGATATTAAATGAGTTGATAAAATGTCTGTTTTAAAAAACTTCCTCCTTGACTAAACTCCACAAATTAATTATGCACTAGATGAAGAACTGCTTTCTTCTGTCTAAAGAACCTGGAAGTACATGTGGAGGATAGATATGCCATCATCAGACCTGCCCTTCCTTGGGTTTCCTGTCATAATCATAATTTACATCCCTGTGTTTAGGCAGGCTAGAGGAGAGGAAGCAGAGACCATGCGGTAGAACAGATTACAATCAAACAGCAAGAAGGAAAAGAAGGAGCAAATGTGTATTGAAGATAGACCATTCTCTTCTTGTTTATAAAGCAGTGAGATTATTCTTTTAAAAATCTGCCATTTAGCCAATTTCCCCAGTTTTACTTTAGCCCTCCCTCCCTTCCTTCCTTCCTTC